GGTGGGGGGAGGGGAGGGTGGCGATCGTGAGAGGGGAGAAGGGGGAGGTCAGGCTGGCGACTACGGTTAGGGGAGGGGGGAGATACGGACGGGGTCCGCAGTCCTGCGGGGCTAGAGAATAGGGGGACAGGTGGCGGCGCGCCCAGCGCTGCGGGCAAGGGGGCTGGTGCTGCCGCTGCTTGCGACGGTGAGGCCTTTTGGCGGGCGGGCAGGCGGGCGACCCGCACTACGTGCGCTGGGGATGGCGGTGGCCTCACTACAGCCCAGAGTGTGACGGCAGGGTTGCGGTTGTGGGTGAATATGCGCGTCTTTTTCGGCACACCTGCGGCGGCGGAGTGCAGCTCTGCCAGCTCCGCCTTAATGCCCTCCTGCTCTTGAAACAGCTGGGACTGCGGCGGTGGTGGTGGTGGGGAAGAGTGACCGTCACTGAGGACTCCCCGGGAACTGAGCCAATCGGCATTGTCCAGGAGCAAACTCGCCTGGCATGGGGTAACACCGTCTGTTTGGGGAAGGGGACAAGGAAGCCCTGGCAGCGCCGTCCTCCGTCCCCTTCGACGAGCTGGCGGCGCACGAGCTTGGACACAGCACGCCGGCGCAGCCCGGTCCACCATGGCGCCCGGCAATCACTCGCTCTGCCTGCCGGCGCCAACCCCTCGACGCTCCTCTTCCCTCACACGTGCCATGAGCCCCTGCACAGCCCACTGCGCGGCCCCCCGCACTGCCCCCTGCACGAACCCCCGCCATCCGACACCCCCCCCAGCGCCCCACCATCTGCTGTGAGTACATCTCCCACGCCTGCCGGACCTCCCCGGCCTTGGCGCGCCCCATGGCATCAGCCGGCACCCGCAGCCGCATGCGCGCCACCACCCGCAGCCAGAAGCCGGGGGGAGGGTCCCGCGGCTGGCCGGTCTCCAGGTCTATCGCCGCCAGGCGGCGCCGCACCAAGGGGTGGAGCCCCTGGCGCCGGGCGGGTGGGTGGAGGGGAGGGCGTGTGTGGCAGGAGGGCCGGGTGTGTGGGCCGCCCAGCAGCCTTGAAAACCAGGGGCGAGCCCGCCTGATCCGCAGGGCGGGCAGCAGGCAGTGCTTGTTCCAGTGGAAAGGCACGACGCAGCGGCAGTGGCGGCGCAGGCAGGCTGCCAGGCCGAATGCAGGCGTCTCGAGTGCCGCTGACCTGCACGTTGCGCATTGTGCTGCGGAACTCGTCCATCCGCGCCAGTGCGGACGCCACGGCTTCCTCGCGGCCAGGGGTGCCCTCTGGAATATCGAAAGCCTGCGGTGTAGTGGACGGCGGGGTTGAAGCAGGGACCGTCTGTGCTGCCCCAACCCTGCCCTCCCCGCCCCCAGTGAGCAGGCCTCACGGCAGCACTTTTAGCGCTCTCGCACCCGACATCCACTGCCTTGCAGCACGCGTCCCTGCCCACGATCACACATCAGGCCGTTTCTCTCCCAAACAGCTACGCACCTCGCTCGCTTGCCGGACGGCCCCGGCGTACACGCGCCGCACCGCGTCCACCAGGGCGGGGGGCAGCCCCTCCTCCTGCGGCAGCTGCAGCGCCGCCTCCACCACGCCCGCCAGAACCTGCCGCTGCTGCTGCCCCTGCTGCTGCTCCTCCTGCCCCTGCTGCTTCTGCCCCTGCTGCTGCTGCTGCTGCTGCTGCTGCTGCTGCTGCTGCTGCTGCTGCTGCTGCTCCTGCTGCTGCCGACCGCCTGTGGCTTCCCGTAGGCCGCCAGGGCCAGCAGGGCAGCCCCCATCGGCAGTTGCGAGGGTGTGGTCATCCTCCACCTGTACCATCCCCGTCTCACCCCTGCCACCAAAACTGCCCTCGTCGCTGCTGAAGCTGCTGCCTACCCCTTCCGAAGAGCGCCCCGCGGCCTGGCAGCCGCCCGTGTCCCCGCTGCCGCTCGTGCTGGCGCCGGTGCCGGTCGCGGCGGCGCCCTGCTCCGCGATCCGGAGGGCCCGCATGCGCTGCTGCAGCTTCGAAGCGGACACGTCGAATTGCGAGACCGCGCGGCTCAGCACGGCCTCGCGCGCGCGCAGGGCCTCGTTGGCGGCCGCGAGCTCCCCCAGGAGCGCCTGCTTGGACGCCAGCTCAGACGACAACGCCTCGCACTGCAAAGGGATGGCGGTGTTGCAGCGTCGGATGGGTGGGCAGCCCTTGAAGTGAAGACAAGAGTGGATCCAGCTGCTCTTACCAAGGAAGCGCATTGCCCCCGGATCGCATGTGCTGCGGACGCCGGGGGTGCAGCCACGCTGCACCGATGGGGGTTTTCCAACGCTCCCCGGCGGCTCGCCGTGGGGCCGGCCCAGCGCACTCACCACCCCCTTGCGGCGCTCCTTGAAGCGCGCCTGCGCCTGCTGCGCCAGCTCCCTCCTCCGCGCCTCTTTCTCGGCATTGCTCGCGTGCTTGCTCACTGGCGGCAGCCTCTTGCGCGGCCCGGGCGGTTGCAGGCGCTGCTGCATCTGTGCATCGTGCAACTGCTGCTGCTGCTGCTGCTGCTGCTGCTGCTGCTGCTGCTGCGGGAGCTGCTGGGGTGCACCCTGCTGCTCCCGTGAATCAGGGCCGCGCGGCTCGCTGCTAGCCCCACTCGCGATCGCCAGCGCCTCGCTAAGGTGCTGCTGGGCGGCGGTCACCTCCCGCACGATGCTGGCATACAGCGGCCCGCAGGCTTCCACGTGGGCGAACGGCGTGGTGCGCGCCGCGCCGCTCGCAGTGCTGTCTCCAACCGCACCGGCTTGCACGCCAAGCTGCTCCAAGAACCACGCGTCCAGGGGCGTATGTGCGTCGGCCTTGGATTGACCGGCATTCATGCTCGACATGCGGGCCTCTCGCAGCGGCGAAGGGGTTCTGCGAAAGGAGCACGCATGCGTCGACACGGGCCTGGATGATTCCGGCCATCAAAAATGCGCAAACCAGCAAAGCTTCTGTGCTAACATGCTTCATCCTGCGCCAGGCCGCAGTTGCGGTTAGACGCAGCGTCACCACATGACTCACCCCAACAGCGCACAATGACGCGTCCCAAGTGTGTGTACACCGCACGGTGTGAACCTCAGAACACAGTAGCACCATGGCACCCAGCATGGCCACGATGCGCTGCCGCTGGTCCGCTTGTGATTGGCCGCCCGAGGACTCGTCATGAGAAGTGATGCACATACAGTATTCACCTGCGGCTGGAAGGTACACCGGCCACCCCACTCATGCCATGTGGACTGCAGCCATTTAAATATGCATGTGGACATCAGCCAGTTAATTATTGCACGCTGGCACGTGCACCTGTCTGTGAACCTGGAAGCTTGACCACGCCTGTCGCAGTGGATGTCTGGTGCGAAGTTGCTGCTGCTTCATGAGGCAAGGCATGCGCAACGACATGGAGGCTGCACCGGGGACGAGGAGTGGGCACCTTCATAAACGACCTTGGAGCCACGCAAGGATTGCGACGAGGTGTGGCACCAGAGGACAAGGATATCAACAACCAAGAAGTAGACCGGCGCCTGTACTGCGACCCTTCAACACAAGTGACTCTTTGGGGGGGCTGGTGTCACCTGACGCTGGCGGGTAACGCCGGGTTCCGCGCTTCCGACGTGGCGACAGGTGACAGTTTAGCGGCTGGAGCCTGGTGTGGGGCTGGAGTGTTGAAGGTTGGGCGTGTTGCTTGACGTGTTTCATACTTGATTTCATTCGCTGACGTTGAACGTGGTTTGACTTGCTGTGACAAGTTTCACAGCTGGCGTTGATTGCGGTGTGAGTCAACACACGTCCCTCTCGCGGCTTGGTTAGCAGCATCTGAGCTTTGTGCAGGCTGGGAGCTGGAAAGCTGAAGGGCTGCAATGAGCGCGTCTTACAGTACCAAAGGTGCAAAACAGGGGACACAGCAGCAGCGAGGCAGTTGCGCAGTATAGCACAAAGATGCATTGAAAGGGCAGGGGCCAACATGTGCCCAGGCGTATGGGCCGCACTGGATAGCTCTGGCACCCCGAGGATGCATGCTGGCGTGTTGGTCGTGGCTCAGCTGAAACTACGCGCCGCGGGGGTGATGGGGCGGCGGGTGTGGCGCGTCGGGCGTCAAGGTCACAAATAGCCCGCAACACCGCCCCCAAGTGCCGAGGCGAATGCCACGGCTTGCGCTGCCCAACCATCCGTTTGGCCGTCTTCAAATCGCTGAAGCAGCAGGCAGGAGCAAGATATAAGGGGAAACATTTGCTAGAAGAAAGGATAGGGCACACACTACAGTGCAGAGCGCAACACTGCTAAGTTCCCGTGCTAAGGTCACGGGTGCGTGAGCACACAAAACACATCTCAGGCTGTATGCTTCAGACTACGGCCATCACCGAGCGCATCCCAAGAAAGCGCCTTGACTTCGGGGTTGCGGGTGCAGCGCGGCCGGGGCCCTTCACTGCAACAACAGGGGTTTTCCTTATCCTTTCCTTGGGGGTCTCCTGTAAGGAGCTGTAGGGGAATGGTAAGGAACATCCAAGGACTTGTGACGTTCTGCTGGGTCGCAAGCTAAGGAAAGATAAGGAGCTCCAGGGGGCACTTTAAGGAACATTTAGGGAGTCCTGCCACGCTTCCTGGCCACATGCAGCAGCTTTGATGCCCGCTGCTTGGGCCTGCAGGGGTAGCTGTTTGGGTGATTTTTATAATTACATATGAGGCATGCCGTAACGGTGGCCCCTTGGTGTGATGCGTGCGTAACGGGTAGTGGGGCGCGGGGCGGGGCGCGCTGCGCGCCTAAGGGGCCGCACAGGCGGCCGCGCCGCATGCATGTAAGGCGGTGCTGTGCACGCAAAGAAAAAAACAGGGTGCAAGCTGTGGATGGGTTGAAGCCAGCACAAGCAACGGGCACACGCACAGCAGCAACACAGCAGTGCGCATGGGCGCACGTCCACAAGCGCGTAGCAGCCAGCGGCGCTGGCGTGCAAGGCGGTGCCGTACACGCGCAGAGACACATGTGGCGCAAGGCGTTGCAGGGTTGAAACCGGCACAAAACAATTGGCAAACAGCAACAACACAGCTGCGCATCCGCGGGCGTGCGCCCACGTATACAAACGCACAGGCGCGTGCACAACACGGCAGCTGATGATTGCATTGCTACTACTCCTTGCGCATGCGGCCGCTGCAGTGATCCCGTCCGCTCGCGGGTGCACCCGCGCCTGCGCTGCTGCTGGGTGCCGCGGCCGCCACCGCCGCGCCGCCCGCCCCCGCGCGGCTGCTGCCGAGTGAGGCCGCCGCCGCGGCAGCGCCGCTGGGCGGCAGCGACTCTGATCTGCGAGAGCTCCAGTGGTCTCAGGTTATTGGCGGTGATCTTTGCCAGGTTCTCGTCGCTTCTGTCGTCCTGTGCAAGCGGTAGAGGCGCGAGGCAAGCAGGATGCGTACGTTGTTAGTTGGCATGTGTAGCCACGCCAAGAGCGCCGCTGAGAGGTATCTGCATGTTGGCGTTAATATCACGCCCCAGATCAAGCAGCCAATGCCACGGTGCAAAAACCTGCAAACTGCAAGGAAGCGAAACATGATGAACACGCACCTGCCCTTGCTGTCGTGCTGGTGCTGCTCCGGCTGTGCCGTCATACTGGCAAGTGTAGCGCCGCTGTGGTACCCCGTGCTGTTGGGCGCCCCTGGCCCCGGTTGTCGTTATTGTGTACCTACAGGGGAAGGAGGGCGGGTGCCTGATCAGCTTGGGACACACGCACAGGCGTTGTCCGCTGGCGCTGCTGCATGCTCAGGCTGCGTGCTGCACAACTGCGCTTGGGAGCGCCCAGGCGCGCTGCGCCACGCCATCATACAGCAGAGTTATACAGCGTCATTTTCACACTTCAGCCATGCGCGCGGAGCTCCGGGCACCCCGGCCAAGATCAAACGCTCGGCTCAACAACCCCCCGCACCATCTGCTGGCGGTGCCCCGCTCCTCCCCAAAGCGGGCACTGTTGATTTCAATAATCGTGCGGCACAGCACGAGCACCTGCTCTTCAGCTGTGGTGCTGTGCTCGACCATGGGTGATCTGACGGTTGGGGTCAGCTGTGAGGTACCAACATGATTCATCAATGATACGGTAGACATAATCAATGTCATTAGCATTACGGACTCAACTATGGTGCCGCGCGAGCGGCTTAGGAGTGCATGCACTGCTCAACTGCTGCTGGCTGTGATTGAGTGATTGCGGCACCTGCAGCTGGGAGCAGTGGGGTCGCAGCACAGCCGTGCATGGTCATAATCACAATCAGATGGATGAGCTTGCTGCACATACTTAGTGCGCTCCCCATAGTATGTGGTGTGGCGCTGCGAGCTGAAGGTGAGCAGCAGAGAACAGCGGAGCGCCGACACGGCGCAGGACGCTCCTGGACCTTGCAGCACCGGCGCGAATGACATTTAATCAGCTAATAAATGACATACATCAAAATCATGCGTTGGAGAGCAGGCAAAACGCGCCCCTCACAGCGGCGCAGTGCATCTCGAGCCCGTGATACGTGTGCGGATGCTAAAACCGTACAATATGTGTAGGTAAATTATTTGAGATGGGCTGTCACCGCAAGTCGCGCTGGGTGGTGAAGAAACTCTGCAGCTTTCCTTCCTGGTCCTTGCCTGCCAAGGAGCGGGGAGGAGCCGCTGGGAGCCCAGAGGAGCGAATAAGGAAAACCCCTGTTGTTGCAGTGCTTGCTGCTTGACGGCAGCGCCAGGGCCTGCTCAAGCCAGCCCGCCACAGCCCGCCCCGCCGCCTTGACATCCCCCCACATCTCCTTTAGCACGCGCGCCCCGGCGCCCACGCTGCCGCGCTTGCGGGCGCCAGCGCCGGCGGCTCCGCCGCCGGAGATGCTGATGTTGAGGCTCCGGCTGCTGCTGCCGCCGCCGCCGCCGCTGCTGGAGGCAGCGTGGTCCGCGTCGGTGGTTCGGGAGGGGGTGGCAACACCGGACGCCTCGCTGCTAGCGCCAGCGCTGGACTGCCGGTGCAAGACCTCCTGCATCCCACCGCTCGCCATGCCGTTGTTGGCCTGCATTGTGGACACCAGATCCATGAGGACCTGGATCTGCTGCCCCATTTCACTCATGCGCGCGTCCACGCGCTCCATCAACGCGCGGGTCTCGAGCCGCTCCTTTGCCAGCCTCTGGCGCGCGTCATCGCGCTCACATTGCGCCGCCTTTAGCTCGGCGGTCAGCACGAGTATGGCGGCGTCGCCGCTGTGCGTGGTGGGAAGGCTGGTCATGTGCGGGACGTGGGCCTTCACGGCCGGCTCCGCCTCGCCCGTGCTCTGGAGCGCTGCCAGCAGCTGGGTGCGGCCGATGCTGTCTTGGGCGGACTCGGATGATGCGCAGGGCTCTGACGACTCGACTGTGGGGGTGATGGCCGCGGTGCCCATCTTCCCCTCAACGCCCATCTTCCCCTCAACGCCGTCCGCCTCGGGCGCCGATTGCGGTGGCGGCGTCATTGCCTCCGGGTCCAAGGCCTGCTCACGCTCTTGTGCATCGTGGCTGCCGACGCCCTCCTTGTCGTCGCCGCTGGAGGCTGACGTCAGCAAGGCCATGCAGCGGCGGCCCCACTCCATGGCCATGAGCTGGTGGATGGTGGCCCTCTCCTTTGGGTTGGGGTGGAGGCCTGCGCGGATGAAGTCTTGCAGGTCGGGGTCAAGGTCGTCCCAGGTGGGGGAGCTCTCGTACGCAGTGGGTTGCTCCAGCACCACCTGCGCGTCATAGGGGTCCCAGCTGCAGCCCGGGATGCGCGGGTAGGGCTCGGGGCGGTCTTCCTTGCTGTACAACGGCGCCTCAAAAGGGTTGATGCCGTCCAGGGCGATGGTGGCGATGCTCAGCACTGCTCCCCATACGTCAAACGCGGGCCCGAGGGTGGAGGGGATGCCATCGGGGCGTCTGGCGTCGATGCCGCTGGCCACGATGGCGTGCGTCTCTGGCGGCATGTAGCTAGGAGTGCAGCTCAACAGCTGGCTGGAGCCGATCTTGGTCACTGCAAACGCGCCCAGTCGGGGGCCGAGGGGGGGAGGAAGTAGCACATCAGACGGTCGGCTGGTGTGCGGCCGTGTTGCTGGCATCAACCCTTGGCCAGTGCTGGCATGGATTCTAGTGCATCGCCCCACGCAGATTGCGGTGGGCAAGGATGTATGCATCCTGGTAACAATAGGCCCCCACTTTGTCACAGACAGATTTGCCTTGCAGCCCAGCAGCACACATTCCAACCAGCCACGGTTAGTGCTCCGGATCCCCTCCCCCTATGCCAACGAGGGAGTCATGACCCGGCCCCTCTTGCTCCGACGCACTGCACACGTGAACAGACTGCGCATGCCTCCTCACCTGCTCCAAAGTCGGCCAGCTTCATAGGGAAGTCCTGCGCCTCGCGCGAGGCGTCCCACAGCAGCTGGTGGGGCTTCAGGTCATTGTAGGAGTGTCCAGACGCGTGCAGCTGCTGCAGCGTCGTTAGCAGCGTCACGGTCGCGTGCGCCGCCAGAGTTGTGTTGAGCACCGTGCCCTCAAACGTGAAGGTGCGGTCGACAACATCGAGGATGGGGCGGCCACCGTAGTCAAACACCAGGTGCACTTGTCCGGTCTCCTCGTCACGCACCACGTCGCGCAAGGCCGGCACGGCCGGGGTGGAGATGCGGCGGTGGGCATCCACCTCCGCCTCCAGCATGGCGTACTGTTAATTGGGAGTGGGTCGCGGTGTGGCGGCGGGGTCATGTATGCATCTGGGAGCGCTAGTTTGGCTGGACGGCAGGCAGGCATGTGGCTGCATCATCCCTGTGGTATGTTTTGGGGCTAGGGTGCTGCCCCTCTGTTGCTGGGTTGCGCAGGAGATGAAGACAAATGCGCCCAACAGCACGCTGTAGGCGCGCCTGCAGCAAGCGTGCATCTTTACGTTACGTGCGTGCCTGCCGGGCGGCGGGTCACCCCACTTCGCGTGGGTCGCTGCCGTGCGCGCAGCCAGCAGCAAGCGGCACACGCGCCGCGCGCGTCCGGCAGCTCTCCCCACCGCCTGCCTGCTCACCACGATGCCGTCTTCGCCCTCCAGGAAGTCGCGCGACAGGCTCTTGATGGCAAAGTACTCTCCGGTGGCCGCCACCTGGTTCCACGAGACACAGGTAGGGCCGGCGGAATCTTCGTCCTGCGGGTAGATGCGGCCACCTCCTTCGCCCTGGTACCAGGGCCTGCAGATGAGGTGGACGCATGAGAAGGTGGTGGTTATCCATTTTTTACGCATTGATCCCGCGGAGAGTGGCGCTAGAGCTCCACACGGGCCTCACCAAGGCTGCTTTCCGATGGGCCTGGCGGCCTGGAACTCAGGGGCGCGCGACATCGTAGCTTTGTATACGGTATTTGTCAGCTGGATCTACTGATTTCTTTCACCAAGCTCCTTGGACATGTTGTGGCAATCAAACGCGAGTTTGGAGGATGTACTTGCTCCGTGGCTTCTCGCTACGCTCGGTGCTGACGGGACTCGCGCACTGGGAGCAAAATGGAGAGTAAGGGTGTGTGTTACGGTGGTTTTTGACTGATTTGATTGCACCGTTGGAGCAAAGGAATAATTGTTTGGCATGCCCACTTCCAACCAAGGCAAGGTCTACTGTACAGGTCAAAATGGACGCAATGGTGCGCGTCGATCAACCGAGGGGGTGAGGGGGTTCACGAGTGCAGTTGTCGCCCTACCTGCCAGGCTGCTGGACAACGCACAGCACTGATGTGCGAGCTTTGCCGCACTGCGGTTCCTCCTTGCCTTCAGGGCCACCGGCCAAGGGAGACCACCAGCTTTCTTCAGCACCTCATGAGGATGGAAATCACCCCCCAAGGCCCCTCGGCCGCGGCTCAATCTTGCCGACAAAGAGGGGAAGACGTTGCCGTTGAGCAACACTTGCACCAATTTGGCGACTTAGCACTTGCACAGCATACCACAGCCCCGCACCTGAAGCACTCTGGAAAGAGAGTGTGCCGTAGCACAGGCATTTGGCGGTGGTGAGGCCAGGATGAGAAGGGCACGCACGCATGGCCGAATGCTTCGGAAGCGCTTGCCAGTGCGCGGAGGCGCGCAGCACAAAGTCGTTGGCTCGCAGAGAGGTTGAGTTGCAGTGGTCGCTGTCAGCGGCCCAGCGCATGCACTGCTGCGACGCCGACTCAGCCTGCGGCCATCGACCACCTTTTCAGGTGGTGCACGCACCCTCAAGCGAGCTGCATGTGTCTGCAGCCCTTCCGACCCGCCTGCCTACTTGACTGCCCCACTCCCCAATCCCCCAGGCCCGGCATTTTTTCTTCTCGCTTTGACCATTGCAACAAACGCCATACGCTGCTGGACTCCAGCTCAACTCAGTGTTTGCGAGTGGCGATGCTGCGACGGCTCGTCAGGCCAGGGCTCGAGCTGCTTCACTCACCCTCTGGATTTTTCCCAAGGAACAGGTGTTCACGTGCTGCAACCCAAAGTGCACCCAGGCACAGCCACCCTTAGCCATTGTTACCCATCTCAAAGCAATGATAACATCCAGCAGAACGAGCTGCGCACAAACAGAGAGACATGTGTGAAGAGAAGTCCCGCGAGACAGCGGCGATGAGGCTGCAACGCAACGGGTCCACACGCTGCCAGCAGCCACTGCCGGGCGCCAGAGAGCCGGCCAGCCGCGGCAAAGCATGGGCGCTGGTTATGCTTGCAGACCCACGCCACATTCCCAGCAGCCGGTTGCTTCTGGTGTGTGCCCCAGCAAAACATACCGCCGCGAGACCATGGCCGCTGGCGCGGTCGTGGTCGCCGATGCGTCAGCCCATGCGCCACACACGAGGCCGTCACTTGTTGGAGGCTGCGCCCGCCACCGACTTTGCAACAGCCAGGCCCAGGACCCCCACGTACGTGATCGCGAGCGGCACCACCCACGGCCCCACGTTGGTCGCCGGCCGCGCGCCGCCGGCGCCGGCGCCGCCCGCGGTCTGCAGTGCGGGGTCGTAGGGCTCCTCAAAGGTGACGCCTGCGACGGCGTGCTCCAGGCCCTCCCCGGCATACGACAGCAGCGGGGACACCTGGTGGACGGGGGGGGGGGGAGGGGGTCAGGGCAGGGCAGAGTGATGGGGGGCGGTGAGGGTGCTGGCCTGGGGGATTTGAGGGGTGGCGTCTGGAGGTGGTGCAGGGAGGACACAGGCAAGCAGCTGAAGCAGCGTCATGAGGGCGCAGCTTGCTCGAGATCGGCACGCTCCGCACAGCACACAGGATGCGGCAAGACTAGTTCATGCACGCCCCAGTCCTCAGAGCTGACCAGGCTCAGAAGCGGCGCGCACGCTCACACGCGCCCCCCTCCCCCCTTGGCGCACCTCCACGCCCTCCTCGCCCGCCACCTGGCCGCCAGCGTCCTCCACCCACGCCGTGTGCAGCCCCAGCGCCATGCCCGCGGCGCCCTCCGGCCCGTCCACCGCCCAGTGGGGCCCGCGGCCAAAGAGCGTCGCAAACTCCTCCTCCCTGGCAACGCCAAGCAGGGCGATGGACCCGGCCTCAAGGAGGTCCCCGTAGCGCAGCACGTCCGCCAGGAAGCGCTGCAGTGCATACCCCTCCACCGGCCGCGGCGCCGCCGCCGCCTCCGCCG